GTAAGTTGTCAAATGTCTTACATAGAATGGACGCATGTTACTACTTTAGATTACAATCTACTGTGGCAAAATCTTATTCAACATTCCCACCTACCATTTAAAAGTCAATCAGACTAATTTTGTCATAATCAATTGCAATGTATGTAATGGCTGGAGGGAGAACAATTTAAAAATCTGCCTCCATCTCGGACAAAAGACCAAATAGAGGACAGGAAATGAGCAGCACTACTAATACGTAGACAAAAGCAACCACGGGCCCATGGTTATACTTGCGAAATAGTGCATGGAAATCAGAAATGAGTCTTCACTTACATTCACCATCCTCATCATCATTCACTAAAAGGGAAATTTGAGGATGTACATAGACCGAATTGTGTGATAGAAGACCATATATGGGGTAAACAAATGCTAATTTCTGGGAATACAAAGTTTGTATCTGTTTACGCAGACAAGTCTGATGACCCTCGTCTCCACATGAATCACAAGCTAGGAAGTGGTGTGGACGAAATCAAGCCTGAGGGATTCTCGGGGCATTCACAGAGTGAGGCAGCCTTTCCATTCATGAATTGAATACGAGACTGGCGATGTGAGCGATGGGGACTGCTGCCATTTTTAAGGTATGCGTACGATCTCGCGTTGAATGCTGGTCTGATTATTACCAGAGTGTCCTAATTGCATTCAACCTGCCCGCATCTCTTCCCTGTATGAAATCCTGACTGAAAAATTACGCTGGGGTCTCGGTGACATCCATCATCCCGCAGCGACTTTAGAACACCACGCAGTCTTCTAAAGTCGCTGCGCGAGCAATATCAGTTATGAACGCGATACGCAGAACGTTTATTCACTTGAATAAAGATGTCTTTGGTCAAGTAGACGGGACATTTTTGCGGCCACCCCTGGAATATGCGGTACAGGCTTGGCTGCCGTAGCTTCGGAAGGATATAGATATCCTTGAAGGTGTACAACGGCATGCTACAAAGTTTGTTCAAGGCCTCAAAAATTACACGTACGAGCAGCGCCTGACGGCCATGAACCTCTATCCCCTCCACTACAGGCAGGACAGAGCTGACCTCATAGCAACGTTCCAGTTGGTAAAAGGACTTAATATGGATGTCGATTGGGAAACGTTTTTTGTAATGGCACCCAAGTCTAATCTCAGACGACATGACTACCAGCTTAAAAGGGAACTGTGCCCCACAAATCAACGTTCATACTTTTTCTCACAGAGGGTCATTCGTCAATGGCACTCTCTGTCGGAGTATGTTGTTAATTCACCTACCGTGAACGTGTTTAAGAGACAACTGGATACTCACCTGTTGAAAGGCAACCCGAACTGCCGAAGCCTAATCTAACAGATTACTGAAATGACTACAAATATACGACTAACAGGATTTCAACAGATCCTTTTTGTACGTCAAACGTAGACCATATGGAAATTTTCACAGTCCGAATGCGGCGAACAAAGTTTTTCGCCATTATTTCGCGAATACCATAATCCTTTCGCCTTTATGAATCCTTTTTAGAGTTATGAATTCTCCTTACTTAAACTGCAAGCAACAGTTTTGCCATTTAACTATTTTCCCTTACATCTGTACCCTCCACATAGAGTTTTCAGAGCTTTTGTCGTTTACTCCAAATATACAGACTGATACTGACCCCAAAAACAGACCCGCTAATGACGCATCAATTACGCTGTCAAAAACCAGTATAACAAGGAGAACCCTCCTGAATTCACACATTATTTGCGCTGTGCACAGTCTCCTATACTGTGCAATTCATAACTTTGGTCAATTTGCCCGCCTTCAGGATGTGCCCAATTTACGGTTGGAGGCGTGATGCAACATGACCGTATGTCACAGTACTGCTTGCTTTCATAGACAACATACATTGGGAAGGAAGCACATTTGCATGACAGGATGAGCCGCTCCATATCTATCGAAAAAACAATTCCGAAATAATCAAGGGGAGACACTGCTACTGACATGACCGAATACATTGCGCAATCGAGTCTGCACTAGACAAGGATCATGAACTTTTGCTTTAAAGTACTGCAAAATTAGTACGTTAAGCTATTGGAACTGTGTACACCGGTTTCAGTTGATGGTCAAAATTGCGTTTTGGCATTGATGAAAACATACCAACTCGTGTTGGTGGTCCTGTGGTAGTTGTTGATGCATGCTCAGTCCTTGATGTCGTTACTGGTGCTTGTCTGGTCGTCGTCGTCGTCGTCAAGTCCTGTACGACGGCTGAAATTCGGAAAGTGTTTAATTTCCAATAATGTCGCTGCATGGTTGGCTGCTGGACTGGGATGTGACTGTGCTGCCATTTTCCAGCCTACCTACAATCGATCGTCTTCCTTAAACACCATAATAACAGTAGCTGTTTCACTCCCGCCCTACTGCTTATGCCTCAGTATTTAGGCGGTCTTTCGCATACCAACGGACACATCATACAGACCGCACTGAACTAAACTGGAAACATGATCCCTGCCTGACGCATGCCTCAAACCTATGATACGCGGAATTTCGCAGTGAGATCTTCTCGTGCCTAATGTAGAGAATATTCTTCCCTCTCTAAACGAAGGTTGAATAATTCCTTGAGTAAGGAAAGACCCATCAATGAAATTCTCCAGAGTTTAAACGCCCAACTTGAGGATAGTTGCACAGGCAAGTGAGTCGTGGTTCGATGCACTTTCTGGCGTTTACTTGAGAACCCTGTTTTAGCTTTGGCGATTGTGAGAAGAATTCTGACGCCTTTAATATTGATTGGCTGCAGCATTTCTAATGTGGCATTTTCAAACTGCTGGCAGGCACATCTAAATTGCACGTCCCAATGTTCACCTTGGCAACACAAAACGTAAAGCAGACTGAGGAGTTAGAATGAATAGAAAAGTTGCCTCGTGAGACAAGGTTAGCGCTGAATGTGTGCACAAGAACCCTACGGTAATATTTGAATATGTAAGGTAAATGACCGCGAGAGGTTCTATTTCGGACGCCCAAAGGATTAGATCCAAATGGCCCAAGCAACATATCCAATCATCGACGTTGGCAATTTGTACAGTACGTGCAAGCGGCTGAATGTGAAGTTTCCACGCATTGAAGTGACAATTGACCGAAAGCTGCACAAAGTTTTTGCAGACAGAATGCTATAAGCAAGAACACCCACAGATGGGACAATAATGTCCAGGCTGACGGATGACGGACACAATGCATGTGCACATGCGACTCGCAGGTGAATGACAAGGCTCAGGAATAAGACAATGCGTCTGTTGTCCGTGACCTCCAGACAGAAGGAATAATCAAGGAAGTATATGGACGGAATTGTTGAGGAAAACACGTAGCATTGGCAGATTTTGATGAATGACGAATGACATGCCTTTGGGATGCCAGAAAGAGCCCTCAGATTAATGCGTGCATGCACCCAAAACATGACAATAATACATAGGCATTAGTAAAATGAGTTGAGAAGTGAATGCCTGTGCGTCCCTGCATCAAGTGTTGAACGACTGCATAAAGAAGTCGAGTAGAGATGGTCAAAGGCGCGCTGCTAGAAAATTCACATTTCGTGAGTGTCGTGTTTACGAGTGGTCCCTGACAGGCTCTCCCAATGACCAGTTTTTTGTCTTGACGGAAATCACTTGCGTTGCCGGCTTGATTATTGTAGTGTGTGCGTTTAAACAGAAACGAAGATTGAGGCGTCTCTTGTGGTTTTGTCTCCGAGTAAGATGCTAACTCTTGGATATGCGTTGGATGAATATATGATTTCAAGGGATTCGACCACATACGGGCATGGCAGGCTGATTAGCCAGAATGAGTAGAAATTCTGCCTCGTAAGCCTAGGTTAGCACTGAATGTGTTAACAAGGACCTAACAGTAATATTTAGGTATTTAGTCTCCTGGAGCCTGACACACACTACTTTGGGCGATTTTGTGGGCGTGAAATCAGTTCTAATGATTATACTAAGAGGAATAATCCTTCAATCTTCAATTGCCCATCCCATGCATGCAGTGCGTGACCGATCTCATTAAATGTTGGCCGAAATTTCGGAATGCGTTTTCGACTAGGAAGGATTAATAAGGTGGCTTTGTAATATTAACTTTCATGTATCCTAATCCTATAGTATTTCGGAATCGACAGGATGTAGGCTTTTGAATGCACGTCTTTCTGTTCGCTCACAGAATCCGGACTCGGCAAAAAATGACTACGTATGTAGCATGCATTTTCACACCTATGTTGGATGGTCATACATATTCTGATATATTTTATAGAAATGATGCACAATAATATGCTTTCTTAAACTTGTTTGGTAGAAACGCAAATTGTCTTTATATTTTATGCCTTAGGAAAAGTTATTTTTCGGAATTGAAAATGTTTCTTACTATGAGGTTTATATGACTTTGCGATGTCTATATATATAGCATGGCACTTGCACGTTTACCAAAGTTCCTCTTGAAGTTTACAACATAGCCCGTATCCATTGCAAAATTTTATGAACTCTATGCAGTATTTTCTGAAAGACATAGAGGAATATATAAGTTTCCTTACGCGGAACGCATGCAGCTTGTAGAGTGGAATCGCTAAACGCTAATGCCACGACTAAGGAGGCTCAAAATTATTCGGGAATTGGAAAATGTTTTCAAATTCTCATGATGCACTTTTTCGGGCATAAAATAGAAACAAAATGTGATTCTCTAACAAACATGTAAAAGAAAGCATATCATTGTGCATGCCTTATATAAAATATATTTCAATTAGTATGTCCATCCACAATAGGTGTGAAAAATGCATGCCATATCAGTAGACATTTTATACCGAGTTCGGTTTCTGCGAGAGATAAGAAAGAAGAGCTTTCAAATGTCGACATCAGGGCGAGTCCGAAATAATACAGGATCATGCAACATGATAATTAATATTAAAACGCCATCTTATTAATCCTTCCTTGTCGAAAACGCATTTCAGAAGTTCGGCCAACATTTCATGAGATCGGTCACGCGCTGTATATTGAGGTATTCCGCGTAGAGGTCATTGGAGTTCAAACAATCAGCCAGCATCAATACGCCCCCGTACACTCAAAGTTGTCCTGGCCTGTAAGTAACATTTTGCGTTGATTCTCTCTCAGCGCTTTAGCATCAAATGCATCAACCTCCGCTTTTTTCAATCGGATTACTCGCCAGCAGTGAGGCCGAGACGTCATGTTCTACTTCTATAGCTGAGGAGGGAACTCAGCGAAGGAGAACGGAATATTGGTTATCTACAACAATCTGTCCTGATAGTCTACCGATTGTAGAGAAGTGATTCCGCGGCGGTCGCCCGTCTCATAGAGAACCCGGAGAGATTATCTATCCTTTCAGAGTTCTTATTCATGGGAGAGTTCAATGCACCCCTAATCGATTGCATGTTTGCTGGACATGACGCTCAGGTTATTGGGACATCTGTTGCGGTTTCTTGTTTCAATAAGTTACTAACGCTTGGACATGCGTAGGATGGATGTATGATTTTAAGGGTACGACTGCATACGGGCAGCATTGGCGGACTATGTGAGCAGTCCTGATTGCTCAGCTCTCCTAGCATGCGGGTTGTTACAAATTCACAGTGGAATTCGTGGTTGTTTGGGCAATTTCGCATTGACTGAAGGCCCACAATAAGAGTAGTGATACCCGGGCTCACGGATGAAGGACACAAGATTTCACATGCGACTTGCAGATGAAACACAAGGCCCAAAAATAAGATAAAGCTTCTATTGATCGTGACCGACAAAAATGAATAATGAAGGAAATATATGGATGGCATTGTTGAGCTAATGATGCAGTTTTGACAGATGGTGATGAGTGAGGAAGAACAATTGCATTTGGGCTACCAACTTGGAAGAATGCATGGGGACTGTGAGCATATTAGTGAAATTGGGGCATTAAATTCGCAATTGAGTGTTTACTTACGATCAGGATTGTAATCTAGAAGGAGTGTCAAGGAGGCGCATAAGTCCAGTTGGGTGATTAGAAGACTTATAGGCGGATTAACAGAGGCTGATTAATCGAGCGCATAAAAAGAGGAGGTAGCGCCTATTTATGCAGATGAAACGGATGACTAATGAGCCAACACATTGTGACCCTGTAGAAACGTAGGTTTTGGTATACATGCGAGCAGAATTGGCAGTCTCAGGTCTACGAGCTCCAAGGTGGGGAGGGAGTGTTTTCAGCGCGAGATTTCACGATATGCGTGTATTTTAGCGACTGAAACGTTTGCCCATATTCAAATCGCAAAAATATGAAACAGCGAAACAATTTGATTGTCATG